TATATCAACAGTGACCATACTAAACTAACATATATCAACAGTGACCATACTAAACTAACATATATCAACAGTGACCATACTAAACTAACATATATCAACAGTTGGCCATACTAAACTAACATATATCAACAGTGTACTAAACTAACATTTATCAACAGTGGGACCTGGTGTGTAATCGGCGAGCGCTGTACTCCACCACACAGGCAATGGTATCAGTTGGGAATTTCCTTGGATATCTGTTATTTGGCTGCCTGATCGAAATGTAAGTAACGGTTTAGGGTTTTCATCAAGTTAAACGCTGCTTGTACATTTCTGACAGATATATGAATCGTTAATAATATTTAGGTCGGTTAACACTCAAAAATGTTATTAACAAAATTTTACTTTTAGTATAAAATGACTTACACCTTCTTAGGTTTACAAAAGATGTAGAAATGATTCCCTCCCTGATCCTCCGAGGAACATGATTATTTGTTGTTCCTGTCATATAAACGTTATAAAGGGATGAACAAAGCGATTTACACAGTTGCAGGTTGAAATTAGACACATAGAATGACCGTCACCCCGATGATGAAGATATGCATTTACTGATAAATAAAAAGTGACTGTAAAACCTTGTAGTGATAATCGCCACTTTATCCCATGAAGCGGTGTGAACTTTTTTGACAAAGGAAAATCTTTTGTTTGTATCAGTGTAACCCGAAAGCAAGTGTCAGACACACACACTTTCACGGGTTTACGTGCAAACTATTTCATAAGTGAACCATCAACGACCCTTAATCCTGAGGTAAACTATTCAGGCACTCAGGTTCGGACCCGTCCTGGATATAAACCTTTGTGCAGGGGGTCAATATATAGTTGCCGAGCAGTGATATTTGTATTTCCTCATAACTTTTGACTAAAGTTTAACTAATTGTTAAAGTGAATTAATGCTCTGATCCCATTGAGTATATTCATTTATAAAGATTTGTCTCAACATTTCCACATTTCTTCTTACTGAGCGGAGTAGGTGTTACCTGTCGAAATAAACGATGACGTCCCCTCAAAAGAAATCATGAAGGCAGTAATCCACTCAACGACTTCACGACCACCTCAACCCATGCCAGAAATGGACCATGACTTCCCTGACTTAGGCCAAAGTCAACATAACCGTAGCCCCGAAATGGCCAGTCAGTCCTCTTGAGATCACAGGTCCTCCAGCGACACCGTAAATCTCCATGACACAAAGACATATACTCCCAGCGACGACAGAAACCATTGGACTGCAACTACAGCCAATGATCGAGACTAGGTGATGGCCACTTACTCCACACGGGAACAAGACCCTCGAGCTGCAGCGTCAGTAGATGACTTCGACACGCAGGCCCAGGACCTGAACATCTCCCTGTACACGGGTGACGGGAAGTTCGAGGATCCGTCATTCGCTGACAAGTAGATGTTCGAAGGTTCTGGTAAGAAGTTCCAGCCTCCTAAAAATGGCAGAAGCCAAGCAAACACTCCAAGCGACGCCCCAAGCTACAGTCTCCGAAATGGCAGTCCTTCTCAGGATGAAAATTGTCCAACATAATGTCCTACACTGGTCCCCTAATAGACGTAACAAACTGTCTAATCCACACTATCAATTAGACCCAGACGTTATTCTGTTAAACAGTACTGGCATAAAGGACGAAAATAAGCTGAAGATTTTTGGCTACACTGTATACCAGAGGAATATGGCGGGTGAGCTGAACGATGGTGTCGCTGTGGCTATCAGGTCACGGCTGGTTTAAAAATAAAGCATGTGAAATGCAAAGATTTGTGGATCAACACAATATATTGCCCAAATACTCATGGCGCGACCCCACCTCTACTCATCCAATGGTAACTCCCTCATTAAAGACAATGAAGGCCTCCTTCAGCACTGGAAGGAGCACTACCATTCACTGCTCAACCGAAACACTGATGTGGATGTTCTGACTACCCAGCAGGTCCCTCAGCATCCAGAGCTGACCCACCTCAGCTATCCTCCATCCCTAGATAAGATAGCTACTGCCATCAAACGGATGAAAATTAACAAAGCCTCTGGGCCTGATGGAATCTCAGCCGAGATGTATAAAGCAGGAGGACCTCTGCTTACAAGGCGTCTCCACTCTCTCCTGGAGAATATATGGGAAAAGGAGGAAATCCCCCAAGCTCTTAAAAGACGCCTCCATCGTCAATATTTATAAGAACAAGGGAAACCAGTCAGACTGTGGCAACTACCGTGGGATCTCGCTGTCCTCTAAAACAGACTTCTTCCTGAGGCGGAAAACTTCCTCCCAGAATCTCAATGTGGCTTTAGACCAGTGGTTCTTAACCTTTTTAGGGTCGCGCCCCCTATAGCAGTTGGTCCTCATCTCCACGCCCCCCTCCTTCCTTCATATAAAATTTTAAAACCATGATAATAAACACCACCACCACCACCACCACCACATGGCCATAAACATCACTCAAAGTAGACAACGCTTGATTTTGAGTTGGCAAATTTCATTCTCGTTATTAAAACGAAACAATTAGCATTCTTTTCAATTGTTATAAGTAATTATCATTATTGTTTCGTTCATAAAAAGTCTACCCTACATCATAGCTCAATTGAAGAAAGAATTGCATGAGTGTGAGAGGTAGAAAGTTGTCACGGACGGACGTCGCGGGCGACTGGCACTGGAAATCGTCTCAGTCAGTGTTGACAATTTTTCAAATGTGAATTATCGTACTAGAGCCTCAAAATTATCGTTTCTTCATCAAATTATCGTACACTTACCGACATTATTACTACCTTAATTCAGTCACTTTTAGTGGAATTTTACATTTTGATTAACGTAGTTATCATTTACGACATTTTGAAGTATCTGTGGGGAACGAGAACCCCTCCACCCCCCTACGAAAATCCAAATATGGTCATACACACACTTGTTAAGGCCATTCCTTATTTTTTGCTCTGGGTTCGCCCCCCCCCCTGGAAATTACTCAGGCCCCCTTAGGGGGGCGTGCCCCCCGGTTAAGAACCGCTGCTTTAGACCATTACGTGGCACCACTGACATGATCTTTGCTGCTGGTCAGATACAGGAAAACTGCAGAGAATAGCGTTGTGACCTGTACATGGTTTTCATCGACCTAACCAAGGCCTTCGACTCGGTCAACAGGAAAACCCTCGGGTGAAACCTCAGTCGTTTTGGCTGTCCACCAAAATTCATCGCCATTGTGAGGCAACTCCACGATGGCATGAACGGCAGTGTCCTGCACAATGGCACCCAGTTTGAGTTCTTCCCCATCCAAACGGTGGTTAAGCAAGAATGTGTACTGGCACCAACACTCTTTTCCATTTTCTTGGCTGCCTTCCTTACTCGTGCCAGTGCCAATCTAGCTTGTGGGGTGGACTTTTAGTACTGGATGAAGGGTCTTTTCAAAAGACGACGACCTCCGGCAGGAACAATGGTGTCGGCAGCTTCCAATACTGAGCTTCTGTATGCAGACGACCTCACCCTTGTTGCTCACACTGAACACGACCTACAGGAGATCCTGAACACCTACGCAGATGCGTATGCACACTTACGCCTCGAGGTGAATGTACGTAAGACTCAAATTCTCTTTCAGCTTGCCCCTGGTTGAGTCACACCTCCACCATCTATCCAGCTTAACGGTACTACCCTCTCTAATATTACCCACTTTCGGTATCTCGGCTCCCACCTGACCACCACTGTGGACATTGATGAAGAGATTCAGCATCGGATCAGATGTGCATCTCAAGCCTTTAGCAGGCTCCGAAACCGTGTCTCCAGCTGTAGGGAGCTGAAATTATCTACAAAGTTACACGTATGCCGAGCAGTGGTCACCCTGCTATATGGCAGCAAGACTTGGGTCACATACATGAGGCACATCAAGGCACTTGAAAATTTTCACCAACATAGTCTACGTTCTATCCTCCGAGTTCGCTGGAAAGATAAGAGAATAAATGACAGTATTCTTACTGACACGAAGTGTAGAAACATTGAGGCTACCATTATCCATAAACAACTACGCTGGACTGGCCATGTTACCCGCATGGATGATAGTAGACTGCCAAAGCAGCTTCTTTACAGTCACCTAACGCATAGTAAACATAACGCTGGCGGATAACTGAAAAGGTTTATCGATAGTCTTAAGACAAACCAGAAAAAAGTGCCAAATCGACCCCCTCACCTGGGAGACGATTATTCCACACCTTGGGGAATCACCACACAAGAAATTGTCAATAATTTCCAGTTAACCCGACTGCATAGCAAGGCAGACAAGCGCCAACGCCGGAAAAACGCTTTCATTGCCCCTCCCGCACTAGATGTAGCCCCCCACATGTGCAACAACTGTGATCGACCCTGCCGGTCCCGTATCGGCCTCTTTAGTCACCCCAGAACTCACCAACCTAGGTGACAGCCTTAATAACTCATATCAATGTATCATAGATGTATGATCGTCATACTTCATTCCGAATGACAGCAAAGTAGTAGTAGTAGTGTGGGTGGTGTTGGAGGGTGTGTGTGGGTGGTGTTGGAGGGTGTGTGTGGGTGGTGTTGGAGGGTGTGTGTGGGTGGTGTTGGAGGGTGTGTGTGGGTGGTGTTGGAGGGTGTGTGTGGGTGGTGTTGGAGGTGTGTGTGGGTGGTGTTGTGTGTGGGTGGTGTTGGAGGTGTGTGTGGGTGGTGTTGTGTGTGGGTGGTGTTGGAGGGTGTGTGTGGGTGGTGTTGGGTGTGTGTGTGGGTGGTGTTGGAGGGTGTGTGTGGGTGGTGTTGGAGGGTGTGTGTGGGTGGTGTTGGGGGTGTGTGTGGGTGGTGTTGGAGGGTGTGTGTGGGTGTGTTGGAGGGTGTGTGTGGGTGGTGTTGGAGGTGTGTGGGTGATGTTGGGCGTGTGTGGGTGGTGTTGGGGGTGTGTGTGGGTGGTGTTGTAGGGTGTGTATGGGTGGTGTTGGAGGGTGTGTGTGGGTGGTGTTGGAGGGTGTGTGGGTGATGTTGGAGCGTGTGTGTGGGTGGTGTTGGGGGGGTGTGTGTGGGTGGTTTTAAAGGGTGTGTCTGGGTGGTGTTGGAGGTGTGTGGATGGTGTTGGAGGGTGTGTGTGTGTGTGTGTAAATCTCAGCAGAAGGATGATGATGACGATGGTGTGCCGGTAGGATTGGTCGCCGACGGTCTGTGTTACTAAGTGGTGCGTTATCGTTTGTGACTGGGATGGTAACGGCTTTGTCCCCAACTCTCGCTTTCTACATGGTGATGCGCATCTTGGTCGCTGCATCTTGCATTGGGTACTACAGCGGCTGCTTGATCATCTGTAAGTATCCCATAGTTTAATTAAAATAATAATAATAATAATAATAATAATAATAATAATAATAATAATAATAATAATAATAATAATAATAATAATAATAATAATAGTAATAATAGTAATAATAGTAATAGTAATAGTAATAGTAGTAATAATAATAATAGTAATAATAATAATAGTAATAATAATAATAGTAATAATAATAATAGTAATAATAATAATAGTAATAAATAATAATAAATAATAATAATATAATAATAATAATAATAATAATAATAATAATAATAATAATAATAATAATAATAATAATAATAATTATTCTATCACAGTTAAGTTCAAAAGCATTGGCAAACAAACATCAAGAAAGTAACAGATTATAATGGTAGTTGCAGGAACAATATATGAGATGCCCTCTTACGGGTTTTCCTCCAGTCATCATTGCATCTACACTTACATTCACCTGTTGCCCTCACGTTTGTGTTGGGCGTTTCTATGGCTCTCCCAAATAATAAATCTATAATTATTTATATTTTGTAAATTTACTATTTTACTATGATGTAGTTTTTTATTAAACCTCTCGTGGTCTTTTGACGCAAATTGCATCATTAAGCACTCCTGTGATGAAACAACCCCTCCCATTCAGCCATATCTCACACTAAGAGCACTCCTCCCATAAGCAGAAATGCAGGAACAGAGAACCGGCCCTATCAACCAACTAAGTTCCTCCCACTAACCACGTGCGCTGGACAATGCATCTATAAGGGTTCAAGTTTGGTCTGGATCACTCGACCCAATGTTTACTAAAATGGAAAAACCGTTCCTGTTACTGACGAAACCTACGCCGAAAGACTGCGAGGGGGTGAGGGTTAAGTTCGGTACATAAGCAAATCTTAGTAAATAGGTTTCCCACATCACGCCAAAACATTATTTCTGAATTACTTGTACTTCGGGCAGATCTTTCAAATTTATTTTATTTATCAATCCATCCGAGTTCAACGTACAGTCTCGTTCAATTCAATTTCAATTGTTTATTCCTTGATAGAGGAAGCGGGATCCTAGTGCTGTCACTAGGTACCCCTGTACAATGACACCAGATGCATCTGACAAGTGTGATAAGTATATACAGTATAAATATTATAAAGGGGCTTACTAAAGCCTAAGGAAGGAAGGAAGGAAGGATATTCCTTTAACACATAATCAATGTTATTTACAAAATATCTGGCCAGCATGGGGAGGATCATCGTGTCTCCGTCAGGGGGTCGTGGAGTGGTGGTCCAGCAGGCGTCACGGAAGCGTTGTGTGTGGGGACATCTTAGGAGCTAGTGGATAAGGGTAGTCTCGTTCAGGATTCTTCGAACACTGCTGGAGACAGCTGGCAACTCAAGACCGTTTGTTTACTATAGTACGTAGTATAATATAATACGAAACAACAAAGCCCAACCATTAATTAAGCAACATGGAACTAAGTAACCAATCACCGACCAATTTTACATTCATTCCTAATTTTTTCTATGTACTATAGTAAACAAACAGCCTTGACTTGCCAGCTGTCTCCAACAGTGTTTGAAGAATCTTGAACGAAACTGTACGTAAGCATTTAATCAACGTAATAATCAATAAATTTATATAAAAAAATTACATTTATATTTACATTTAGAGTGATATCTCCATTAGCCAGAACAATTGGTGCAGAGCACTTCTGGGAATGAGAGATTTCTGGGTAATGAGACGACTCTCTCAAAGCGGTAAAAAAAAAACCTCCTCCCTGGAATTTTCCTGGTAACAGAAAAACGTTCTCGGAAGTTCCAGAAATTGTGCACTGCATTATCTCTTGAACCCGGAAAAATATTCCCCCATCTCCGGAATTTTCTGGGAATGGGAAATTTTTTTCTGAATTTCTGGTAAAATGCTTCTGATTTTCATCTCTCAAAAATGGAAAAAATTCCCCTATCCCTGGAATTTTCCAGTATCAGGAAAATTTTCTTGCCCCTCAGAAATTCGTTCCCAAAGCCGGAATTTTCCGGAAAATTCCAGCTTTGGGGATAATTTTACAAGGCAATTTAAATTCCGGCTGTCGGAGAGTTATATGTTTGAGGGATTCCGGCTTATGGGGATATTACTGTATCACTTTACTTTTCGCAATATTGTGGGGGCTGTAGGGAAGACTGTATTCCTATTGAATACAGGCGGTTAATTCCTACATTATTGGGGATCTTAGTCATTATGACTTACTTTCCTGAGTCAACCCTTGCAACGTTCGGCAGCCTTTCTTTTGGTAGTCATTACAGCTAAACTTAAGGAAAGCATATCTGTTGCCTTTGTTTGTACAACATCACTGAGTTCATCCTGAGCTTCATTATTACACTCCACAGATTCATCCAGTGGATATAGAAGCTTTATCGAACGAATTACTTTCCCCAGTCTCCAGTGATTTCTACTACTAGAGGTTAGAATAATTCCATCCCTCATAAATTATGTAAGATTCTTGATTAAGCTTGTTTGTTCCCTGGTGTGTGGTTCATTTGACTCCTCATCAGGCTACATATTTGCACTAACCTCTTGAATTCCGTAGTTGTTGATCTACGCACTTAACTGCTCAGAGAAGGCCACTCCCATATGCATACAGTGGTTGGTTCCTCTGACTGTAACACTTTATTCAGGTGTGATAACAACTGCCTTCTGAGGGTGAATTTACTGTTTCCAGTCTTGTCAGACAAAAATGCAAATAGTTTCTGCTTGTTATCTGAATCACGTAAGAAAACTTGCCACTTTACTGGAATTTTGTTTTGAATGGCACCCTTTCTCTTTTTACCTTTCCCTCCTCTGTCTCTTGTAGACAATTTTGTTCAGTTTTGAGGTATGTATCCCACATAACATTCAGTCTCTTGGCTTCCTTTAGCTGCTGCATGTTGAACTGAAAGACGCCATTGGCCTAAAATAGTCTCCAAATATTCTGATGCAGCTTGTAGAGAAGAGGTGCACCACAGCGGCACAATCAAGTACAGTACTTTCATGTCAAAAGAGCTAGATGGCTCTATCGTAGTTTTTTCACCAGGCATGTCAACAGGTCAGATTTCTTTCCCAGACAAAGTTTAGTTCTATCAGAAACATGGTGGGTATGGCTGATTCTCATGACAGAAAAAGATACAGTACCCATATCAGCCTCCCTATTCAAGTTAGGACACCTGAAGAGGTCATCGGATCATGAATGAGCATTGATTGACTTGTGGTAGTCAGTGTACGGATTCGTGTCGAGAGCTTCCACACTGCGGACAGTGTTCAACATACACTCATTGAATACAACATGTGTTTCCACTGATATTATTTGGTAGAATGATACATTTAAATTACATTCATCAGTTTCATATTCATATTTTCCCTGGAACCATGATTTTCACAAATTTCCTTGCCAAACCTGAAAGTGTACGACATACTGATATCTGTGATTTTTTTTTATTTAATCTATCCCTATTCACTGAAATGCAACTCTAACCTGCACGACTAAAATATTAACCTTCATTTTCATCTTTGTCTTCATAGGCTGGTCTAATGAAAATTTCTTCAATAATTCCATTTACAGGTCTCGAAATTTGCTCACCAAAACACCGATCAATAATTGGATCGCTCTACGCTATTCCCTGGGCAGTGGGTTACATGGTGCTGCCCGGGGTAGCCTACCTGGTGAGGGACTGGCAGATGCTGCAGGTCGCCCTCACTATCCCCAGTATCTTCTTTGTCATATATATCTGGTAAATGGCCACTAGTTTACTAATGATTTGTTCTTTTTTCACACTTTTAAGTCTTTTCCTATTATGCTGCAAGATGACAGAAATTAAGAACAACACACGGTCACTAATCTTCATCCTTTCATTCAAACTGCTATGACATCCCCACAGACCTCTCGATGCCATGATCTCCTCTCATTTATGTTCATTGCTGCTTCTTGGACATTCTTTTCATATCACCTCGTACCACTTTACCATCCATATCCGAATTACCTTTTACCAATAATTATTTTCAACTTTGTTAATGGACAAAAAGGTTCAACCTGAATTTTGGATTTTATTGACTCTTGTCTTGGGATTTTGGATAATTGTAGTAAACAAATTAATTCCTTAGTTTTATTTTCTATGTCAGACCAGTAAAACTCTTTGAATTAAAACCGCAGTGTAATAAGGGGAAGAGATGTGTGTGTGTGTGTGTGTGTGTGTGTGTGTGTACACAGGGTGGTGTAATGCATCTTTTGTGGCAGCATTTTGTTAGTGTTAAGGTACAAGCACTGCTTGCTTCCTCTCACTTTCAGCTACCGCCTGGGGCTAGCCTTTGTGGTAAGCAGGGAAGGAACTTATATGAGTCTTGCCCTGCCAGTACACAGCCTCTTCACCAAAAAGAGTCCTGCTGTGCCTCCTCATGGCAACACGTGATAACTGGGTGCCTCACGGCTCCAGGCTAGACCAGCAGGGATAACAAGAAGGAGTGGGCCGCAAAGGAACAGCGCATAGGCTCACTAGCATGTGAACATGTCCTGGCGTCTTTGCTGATTAACCTTGGTAGGTATAAGGCTACGGAAGTAAAACCAAAATTAAAAATCTGCAGTGGAGCCCCGCATGAGGCAGACATGCTTACAGAGCTCCAGTAAGTCCCCCAACGGTGGCAAAGGCGGAAGAGGTGACCACCATGGGAACCCAACGACTACACCGTCAGACGAAAGCAATGCCTGATGGAGAGGCTACTAAGGCGAAACCCAACAAACTGGGCTATCGGCAGTCCATTGCAACTCTCCCTTTTCCCCAGTCTTTGCAACTACTTGCACCACTGAATCAGGAAAAGGGAGAGCCAAGATGTGTGGTTGCAGCCTGTGCTCCTGCCTCACCACATAAATCGACTCATACACAGCCATCATCCAGCTCATCATACCTCTGACTATCGTCAAAACCCCTATACCCCCACAAGTCCTATGGCGACGGACGAGTGGCGACGAGGACAGGAGATGACTGCCAGGAGTCACTAGTCACAACTCTGCACATGGGCGGCACAGATAAGATGGTCGTATATGCATTGGGATCGAGGCAGCAGTGCAATCCGGTGCTGTCTGTACAACTGAGCAGCCCTTTCGAGGAGCCACTCTGCTCAACCCACATAGGAGGGGCTAGTAAAGGTGCACTCAACATAGCCTGCCTAAAGAACCAACCTGACTGGGCAACCCACCCAGTAAGGTCATCCTTATGGGGTCGAAAACACAATCAAGATCACAGGTCAAAGCAAAAACAAACTATACACCCTCTTATGGTCGCTGCATGGAATGTCTGGATACTGGCACAAATGAGCATCCTGAAAGAAGAACTGCCCTTGTGGCAAAAGAGCTGTCAGGTTTAACGTCGACATAGCAGCCATTAGTGAGTCCCGGCTCCCAGACGAGGGTCGATTCATAGAATGGGGGTCCGGCTATGCCTTCTTCTGGAAGGGTAAACCTGCTTTGGAGAAAAACTGCATTTACGTAGTTGGACTTGCCATTCGCCAGTCCATCCTACATAGACTAATTGGAAAATGCCTGTTAGGCTCAAAGAGCGTCTCATGATGCTCCGAGTCCCACTGAATTACTCTCGTCATGCATTCTTCATCAGTGCATATGCCCCAACACTGTATGTAAAGGATTACCTCAAGGAGGCCTTTTATGCCGACCTTTACAGAGTGCTAACCTCTATCCCAAGAGAAGATAAGGTTGTGCTCCTTGGTGACTTCAATGCTAGAGTTAGCAGAGATGCTAACATTTGGCAGGGAACCATGGGGAGAAATGGACTAGGGAAGTGTAATCCCAAATGCACACAACCTCACTATCACCAATACTTTGTTTAGGCAGGCCGACAAGTTCAGTGGTTCTTGACAACACCCATGATTCAAACATTGGCATCTCATTGACTACATCATTGTCAGAGAAAGATATCACCGAGATGTCCTTATCACCCGAGCAACGCATGGCTCAGACCACTGTGATACAAACCAATGGCTTGCCTAGCCAAACTCTCCCTTCATGTTGTCCCAAAACAGCGAAGGCAACAAGACTCCAGAAGAGGCTTTAACATCAAGCAACTGGAGGATCCAGTGGTAGCACATGCTTTCAGAGAGCAGCTCAACGATGGGCTGATAAACAGTACCCACAACAAACAACAAAAATCCGAGTGCTAAATGGGGTCCCATCAAAGATGTCATCACAAAATCCTGCAACGAGACTCTCTGCCACATGAAAAGAAAACACCAGGATTGATTTGATGAAAGTGATCTGGAAATGGAAATACTTGTCAATAGTAAACGTGCTGATCTCACTGACTGGCAAGTAACCCTAAGTCTCGGACCAAAGCTGAAACCTTCCACGAGAAGAAAGTGGCGATCCATCACGGACTTCACAACCTAATGAATGAATAGTGGAAAAATATAGCATAGAAATGCAAATATTTTTAGATCAACACAAGATGCGTGAATTTTTCAATTCCGATAAAACATTGTAAGGCCAAACTACTCATGGCGCAGCCCTCCTCCACTCATCTTACGGTAACTCCCTAATTAAAGACAAAGAAGGCTCCATCAGCGCTGGAAAGAGCATTACCATTCCCTGCTCAACCAAAACACCAATGTGGATGTTCTCAGCACACAGAGCTGACCCACCTCAGCTATCCTCCCTCCCTGAATGAGGTAGCTACTGCCCTCAAGCAGATGAAAAATTACAAAGCCACAGGGCCTGATGGAATCCCAACCAAGGTGTATAAAGTAGGACGATCTCTTCTTATAAGCCGTCTCCACTCTCTCCTGGAGAATATATGGGAGAAACAGGAAATCACCTAAGAACAAGGAAAACCGGTCAGACTGTAAATGCCTGGATGATCAAAAGGTCCCCAGTGAATGGAAAGTGGTTTATGTGAGACCTATCTCCAAGAAGGGCGATCGTCACTCCACGAACAACTATAGACCGGTGAGCCTGACCAGCATAATATGTAAAAGTACTTGAGAGTATTATCAGAGATACCGCAATGGAACATCTAATACGAAACAACTTTGTAAAGGATTGCCAACACGGTTTTATGCCGGTGCGCTCCTGCTTAACACAATTGCTCAAGGTATTAGATATTTGGACCCATATTCTGGAACGGGGTGGTAATATCGACAATATTTACCTAGATTTTGCCAAGGCTTTCGACAGTGTACCCCACGAAAGGCTGAAAATCAAACTGGAAGGGTACGGAATTCGGGGAAATGTCCTAGCGTTTATAAAAGACTTTCTACTTGACCGCAAGCAGTGCGTAGTGATTAATGGCACGAAATCATCATCCTTACCTGTCACAAGTGGAGTACCACAGGGCAGTGTATTGGACCCGCTGTTGTTTGTTTGTTTCATAAATGACATGCCTGACGTTGTACACTCGTCCATACAAATGTTTGCCGATGACGCCAAGTTATTTCCGGAAATCAAGAACCAAGCGGACTGTGAAGAGCAGCAAGAAGGACCTCTGCGGGCTCCAATAATGGTCGAAGAAATGGCTACTGAGATTCAATGTCACGAAGTGTAAGAGGATGCACCTGGGGCGTACCAACGGTAAGGAGGCGTATCATATTTCCCAACGGGATGAAGAAACTGCACTATTTGAGACTGAATGTGAGAAGGACCTAGGTGTGTATGTTGACAATGAGCTGAAGTTCTCGGGCCATTGCGAGAAGAAGGTAAATCAGGAAAATAAATTATTGGGTCTCATATGAAGGTCGTTCAGATATCTAGACGGTCCGTCCCTCGTAACGATCTTCAAGAGTGAAGTGTTTCCCCATCTTGAGTATTGTCACCCCGCCTGGTCCCCGAGATATTGCTAGGGACTGTCAGTTGGTTGAAAATGTTCAAAGGAGGGCCACCAGACTGGTGCCTGCACTTCGGAACCTCAGCTACCCTGAGAAATTGGAGAGCCTGAACTTGCCTAGCTTATACTGCAGACGGGCAAGGGGTGACCTAATTGAGGTGTATAAGCATCTCAAGGGGCACTACTCAGTCGAGTAACCTTACTTGGAGCTGGCGGACGCTCGCCCCACAAGGGATCACAGCTCAAGATTGAAAAAGCCGCAAGTCCAGAAAACTGTGAGGGCAAACTTTTTCGGAGTGAGGGTTGTAAACTCTTGGAACAATCTACCAGAAAATGTTGTGACGGCACCGAGTGTGAGCTCTTTCAAGACAAGACTTGACCAACACTGGAGCGGGTTCAGGTACATTCAGGAGACGGTGCATGCCCAGTACTTGCCAACAGTGCGTGACAGAGACGTGACCGATCGCCCAAGCGGCTAATGAGCCGATCTTTTGGTGAAGAGGATAAAAGAAAAGGAAAAGTAATCAGAGACGTGACCGATCGCCGAAGAGGCTAACGAGCCGGTCAGTGGTGAAAAGGATAAAAAGAAAAAAGAAAGAACTCACTGCTGTCCAGAATCTCAATGTGGCTTTAGACCATTTCGTGGTACCACTGACATGATCTTTGCTGCTCGTCAGATACAGAAAAAGTGCAGAGAATAGCGTCATGACTTGGACATGGACTTCATTGACCTTACTAAGGTCTTCGACTCAGTCAACAGGGAAGCCCTCTGACCCTCAGTCATTTTGGCTGCCCACAAAAATGCATTGCCAATGTGAAACAACTCCACGATGGCATGAGCAGTAAAGTCTTGCACAATGACACCAAGTTTGAGTTCTTCCCCATCCAAACGGGGGTAAAACAAGGATGTGTTCTGGCGCCAACTCTCTTCCATTTTATTGGCTGCCTTCCTGACTCGTGCCAGGAACAAAGGTGTCTGCAGCTTCAATCACTGAATTTCAGTATGCAGACGACCTCACCTTCTTTATTCACACTGAGTATAGAGACAGGTTAAAGCATCTTAATTTGCACTCCCTCGAGAGACGTAGAGCGAGGGGCGACCTGATAGAGGTGTATATAAGTGGAAGGCAGGGCTAAACAAAGGGGACATTACAAAGGTACTCAAACTATCCAACCAGGAGCGAACTCGTAACAATGGTTTTAAATTAGACAAATTAGATTTAGTGCGAACAGGTAAACACTGGTTTGGAAACAGAGTAGTGGATGAATGGAACAAGTTACCAAATATCATCATTAACTCGAATACGCTGGATAGCTTCAAACATAGGTTGGATGCTTATATGAGCAATAGGGGTTGGGTGTAAACGGGACTGCCCAGTATGGGCCAATAGGCCCGCTGCAGTTTCCTCCATTCGTATGTTCTTATGTACAGGAGATCCTGAACTCCTACGCAGATGCGTATGCACACTTCGGACCTGAGGTTAATGCACATAAGACTCAGAATCTCTTTCAGCCTGCCCCTGGTTCAACTACACCTCCACCATCCATCTCGAATGTTATCCACTTCCAGTACCTTGGCTCCCACCTGTCCACCACTGCGAACATTGATGAAGATATTCAACATCGGATTAGATGCGCATCTCAAGCCTTAGGCAGACTCTGTACCCACGTCTTCAGCTGTAGGGAGCTGAAACTATCTATAAAGTTGAACGTGTATCGAGCAGTGGGCCCCCCCACCACCCTGCTGTATGGCAGCGAAAACTTTCACCAACGTAGTCTACATTCCATCCTCTGAGTTCGCTGGGAAGGCAAGAGAACAAAGGCCAGTATTCTCGCTGACATCAACTGTAGGAGCATCGAGACTACCATTATCCATGAACAACTACGTTGGACAGGCCATGTTACCCAAATGGACGACAGTAGATTGCCAAAGCAGCTACTTTACAGTCACCTAACGAATGGTAAATGTAACGCTAATGGACAACGGAAAAGGTATAAGGATAGTTTTAAGACAGACCTGAAAAGTGCCAAATCGACTCCCTCATCTGGGAAACGATCAATACACACCATAACGCTTGGAGGAGCACCACATGATAAGGTGTCAATACTTTCAAGTTAGCCTGACTGCACCAGCGCCGGAAAGATGCTCACGACGCCCCTCCTGCACTACTGTATATGTAGCCCTCTACATGAGCAACATCTATGGACGGCCCTGCCAGTCCCGTATCGGCCTCTCAAGTCGCCTCATAGCTCACCAACGAAGGTGACATCCTTAATAACTCATATCATTGTATCCTAGCTGGATGATCGTCATACTCGATTCCGAGTGACAGTAAAGTAAGTTGCAGTAGAGATGTTTAAGTTTAAACTTTGTAAAAAAAGTTATAATATCACAAAATCACATAATAGGTAAAAAGCAAACATAATGAACACTGATGTAGACAAAATAAATCCCTTCACTAAAATATAACTGAAGATACACACATTTGAAATGTAAAAAATAAAAATATAAACAATGAGAATGTCCTCAAGTGAATAATATCACTTATCTGTCCTTAACCATGCTGAACATACGACGTGAATAAGAGTACTGGATCTCTCTGTGTAACTTGGAGAAGATTGACAAAGCCAGCAGTTTTGGGTCAGAGGTTGACTTAAGTTTGGATTCCTGTCATCAGGGATTTGCATCGCCTGAGGGCAGGTTAAACTATTGTACGTGGCTCGTGAACAACTGTGTGTGTGTGTGTGTGTGTTTGTATTGGTCAGCCCGCACTAAACAACTAATAGTGGAATTGAGTCAAGAATGGCTGGATTGTCATCCTTGAGGGTTGATCTCATCACAACTTACAAAATGTCGTCATACCACTTTTACAAATCTGGCCACTTCTCTATCTTATAATTCTTTAATTTCTATCCCTCTGCTAAATTTACCTCAAATATGTTATTCTGTAGCTTTCATTTGTTTCTTCCTCTAGTGATTATTATTTCAACTCTATAAACTACCATCACCAAAAGGTTATCGGATATGAGTACCATTCATCAGTAATTTGAATGAATTGACAAAGATCATTACAGTCTCACATATAAGGTCAGAAATACTCAACAGAAGCTGTTTGTTTGTTGAGTGATGCTCAGGTGAGGGTTAGATGGTGCTTTATGGTGTCTTCACCATGAATTTAGCAATTAAATCCAGATTTAGAAAGAAAAAATAATAATATATATATATATATATATATATATATATATATATATATATATATATATATATATATATATATATATATATATATATATATATATATATATATATATATATATATATATATATATATATATCTTGATAAAATCACACGGGAAGATGGAAACAACGGAGTACCTTAGCTTTCGTCTTTATTCAAGACATCTTCAGAGGCAACTGGATTACATGGACAGAGAGAGGCTTAATATACAGGGTGACCTAAAACATGAGGTCAGGTCAAAATGATGACATCCACTAATCCCCACACCAACACACACGTAGAGGAGCTTAAGAGAAGGGAGGTGACGTGACTAGCCAAGTCAGGTCAGAAAAAGGGGACCCAAAATAACTATCATACATCTAGATCAAAGGTTTTCAAAGCATTTTTAACCTTGGGCCACTGACAAATAAATTTATGTAACATATTATCAGTTTTGAACTGACCATCACTAAGGTTTATTGATTTTAATTCTTAATCAAACTAGCTTCAACAAGAAGTCTTTCACACAAGATGATTTGAATACTTCTAAGCTTTTTCCCAAGCAATGGGGTGATTATTATTCCTAACATGAACAAACAAGGCACTGCTTTCAGATGCAGTTCTGATATTATACTTATGTTGTTTGATTCTGAGCTGCAGTGTTTTTCCTGTCTGACCTACATAATTACAATTACATTTACATGATATATATATATATATATATATATATATATATATATATATATATATATATATATATATATATATATATATATATATATATATATATATATATATATATATATATATGACAAGGTGGTGGTGGCTCTCCATCAGGACATTACCAGAGTCCCCGCGGTGGCTGGTGATTCACGGGAAGAAAGAGGAGGCGCTCAAGGTGCTCACCAAGGCAGCTTCAGTCAACGGTAAGACACTGCCACCAGAACAAGAGATGCTGGCTGCTATGGATAGGATCAAACAGAAGGTGAGCGTCACAGCTTTTTACTTTTATATATTGCACACAAGAGTTTCCACGGCGCTACACTGTCAGGTACAACAAGAACAGTGAATTTGTAAGGTTACAGCTTTATGTGAAGTTTTTGTTTAATTAATGAATATTTTCTTTGATCTACCATTTAGCTACAATACACCTGAGGTGGACTTGAACAATTGGTTTTACTATGTTTATTTTGTTGTTGTATACCGTACCAAGGATGTTTTATGTCGACAAATCATCAACCTTGATGCGAAACATGTAAGTCGTGTATTATTGAACTGTATAATGTAGAAGCTTTCTTTTAGAGTATTTAGACTGAAGGAGATCTGGTAGATAAGGCGTATGGAGTTATTTTCTCGGATAAAGTTGATTTTTTAGTTCTTTCCAGTAGTAATAGAATGGACCTATGGACTCCACCCCTACCCCACACCCAGCCTGACCCCAGGGGCAAGGCGTCTCCACCCTTTCCTTCACCCACCCAACCGCCCTTTCGAGTCCATTTTTTTATGTAGAGAAGGAATGGGGTGAAAGAAGATTGGAGGTAGGGGAATTGATAGCACAAAAATTGAAGAAATTGAAAAGATACAAGAAGGTGGTCTGATTGCCTTGCTAGTTATTGTGGCTGGTTTTCTTAAGGCTGGATTGTGGTTGGCTGGTCTCTCAGTCGGCAGCATCATTAGGCAGTCTACTCTATCCCATATATAGGCGATTCGAGGGTAATTTTTCTTTTTCCGCCGACCCTACTGGCGGATGCTGGTCTAGAGAGGTTGTCTATTGCCTGGCCGTATAGATCGGGGGTGGTAACTTTTTGGGAACCATCTATGGTTGTTGTCATAGTCTGGTGGGAGTCTTTGTTGGAGTTCTTGCTCTGATCTTTCTATGTTTTGCCAGACTCTGCTGGCCAGGGTGTACAGCTGCTGGTTGATGGGTCTTAGGGCCAAATGCAAAACTTCTGTGGTGTACACGATGCTGTGGTATCCCGGCGGTCGTAATACAATGGAAGAAAAGTGTAGTGATTATTCAAGAATGGCCATGGTGGTTCCCGACCGTCGTTTGTTGTTACTACGTCATCGTGGTGTAGTCAGGTGTACCAACTGGCGGAAGACTGGGAGGTTGGTATGCTTGCACCCTCAAAACGTTGTCAGTGGCACGACACGTTTACTCTTGCTACACGATTTACGAGCATGAAAAACTTGTATCCCAAGTTAAGGTGCACCTCATTTTCCTATTTTCTTGGATTATAAACCAATTCTGGGAATAAAATACGATCACTTACAGTGAATATATATAAATAAAGCCTGTGGCAACCATAAGAACATAGGAATAAAGTGTAATATCTGTTCCTTTCTTCTTTATCCTAATTAAATCTAACAATAAAGTAATAAGTTTGTCACGAACTTGGGGTTGGGTGAGTGTAAATAAAGAGAATTATGGCCTGTTCTGTGGGTGAAGTCAGTAGACAGGGCCGGATTCAGGAGTGGGCAAAGTGGGCAGCTGCCCAGGGGCCTCCACATATTACAATATTTTATTTATTCATGTTTATCTATTCTATCACGTTATGTTCAGCAAGAAGTGTGATAGAAATTAGGCTGGCTACTCCTTGAAATTCATGCAAAGAAGTGTGATTGAAAATTTTTGACAATTAGGGCTGGTCTCCACATCCCAGTGTCATCACTTTTTTTGAAGTCATCTCTCTGTAATAACTAATAATATTTTCTTTTCTGTGAAGACCGTTGAAAATTTTTGACATGTGCGGTAGTAGCTATATCAGGGCTGGTCGACTTGAAACCACATGAATGACTCCAGTCATGTCTCACTTTTTTTGTGTGTGTGCTGGGAATTTGTACACTATCAATAAATATACAGTTAATTAAAAATTTCTCAATGTTCTAAGTTCCTCAATATAACTGCATGTGGCTTCAAAATTCTCCAAAGAAGTGTTCAAATTTCAAGATTTTCCCGGGGGGCTTACAGCGCTCCCCGGAACTCCCAGATGTTTAGGCTCGCTTTACTCGCCATCCCACCCTCTCGGGTAGTTATAATGAGGGGGGCCTCCACAAAGAGGCTGCCCATGGGCCTCCACAGGTCTAAATCCGGCACTGTCAGTAGAATATAACGAAGTACAGTATTAGGTATTATAGTTTTGCTATGACAGTTATGAACTCACTGTACAGATGAATTGGGATAAAATCTTGAAAAATATCACCATAACTGTTAGTTTTCTACCAAACAGGAAATTATCTTTGTACCCAAAAATCTACATGATATGAAACCTTGAGATAATGTTTCCTATTTGTCTCCACCTGATTATAGCAAGACATGAACACTTTCCCAAAGTCAGGAGTAAAAATTTATACAATACAGTCAACCCTCGCTTTACGCGGTCCCACTTCATGCGTTTCCACGTTTACGCGGTACCCTGCCGAACATGGAATGCTCACTTTCCGCGGTGTGTGTACCCTTTTACGCGGAGAGCGGCGCGAGCAGGGTGCGCACAAGGTCGCCCAGTCATCAAACATTACCGAGTTCTTCACCCGCCACCCACCACAGCCGGCCCAAGTCAGTGATAGTGATAATGATATGGACTTATATGGACTTTGAGGGGTTTGACAAAGTGGCCCTGCAAGTCTCTGAGGTGGATAGTGATACAATTGATACAAGTGATTCAGGTGAGGGCCAATAATCTGCCCTCTGCCTCGGAACCAAACCCCCATCCCTGTGTGCCCAGCCATCTTTTCTACTAATGTAAGTATTAAAAAACCTAATATTATTGATATTTCTCTTAATTATTAATCGTGTGTGCATACCATCATAAAATTAAGAAATTATTTTTACTACAACGTAGGTATTGTGTCTGAAAAAGTGGTTTGGGGGTCGGCCCGGTCTCTATTTCAATTAATCCCATATGTTATGTTGTTCACTTTACGCATTTCTCACTTTACGCGGGCCGCCGTGGGTTCAATTGACCGCGTAAAGTGAGGGTTCACTGTATGTTAATGACATGGACTAAACCAGCAGTTAAAGAAAAGTATCCTCTGTTTAAATGGTCTTTTATTTGGAAAATCATTCCATGTAAATACTGTATATGGATCCTCACCAGAGAGTCTTCATATAGTTAGTGTGCAGACATTTGTTTACAAGGCATATACTCAACTATTATGGAAAGGAAGACATATTAGGTTAGGTTAGATTAGGTTCATCTTGTGAGCAAATGTCATGGAACCCATATACAGTAGGTATATTCATGAAATTCTACCTCCTAATCAGAGACTAAAAATGTTAAACATAAAACAAGATGATAATTAAATGGCTTAAAAATATCCTCAATACAGTCTGCAATGTTAATTGCAAATTATTTCTGCATATAGTCGCTGCCTCAGCTACCATGTTTAAATTTTTGGATGTGAAAACCGATGAAAAATATCTGTTTAGATTATTAATCATTTCATCGTCTCGTGTTTTAGTTTGATACATTTGGAAGAATCCCTTTGGGTTTGACTTCGCCTTCCTTGCTATCTTCAGTTCATTATTCCTCTCTACTTTTCTTATCTGTCTTAACCCTACTGGCCAATACTTTATAATAAACTCCAGTAATATTCTTTAAATAAAGATTTATTCATTTGGGGTCATTGTTATTTGATTTGAGTTTTCTGTATGGTATGTTCTGCCTTTATGCATTCAGTAATTCAGTATTTAAATTATGGAACTCGTTAACCTCAAATCTCATGGTCAGGTCATCCTCAACAGTCATATTTTGTGAGGTTACCATTGTCAGGTCACCAGGTAAAGTGAGGTCGCCTTCTGTGGGTACATTATGTGAGGTCACGTCATGTAATTCAACCCCAAACATAATACCCCTTCTCTCAGCTATTTTTTCAACCTATCAAAGTTTGCCTTTCTGAAATCATTGACTTTAACGGAATTTTCCTTGCGACTGACATTAAGTTCTACTTTAAATCTCACATCTTTGTCGTCGCTGTTAGCTAGTTCGTTCCTTACCACGACATTACTGATGAGGTTTTCTCTGTTTGACAGAACTAAATCGTATATATTATTACCCCGGGTCGATTCGAATATACAGTATGTTGACTTAGGAAACGGTCCTGAACTGTTTCAAGAAAATCCTCTGTTTCTGAGTTACTCGTAAGGTCAATCCAATCTATTTGACTAAACATAAGAACATAAGAAAATAAGGAGTCTGCAATAGGCCGGTTGGCCTGTGCATGGCAGCTCCTGTCGAGAGTTACTACCACTCTCTATCGTCCATGAATCTATCTAGCCTCCTTTTGAAACTTTCCAGAGTTCCCGCACTTACTACAAAGTTGCTAAGCTTGTTCCACTCGTCCACCACCCTATTTGTGAACCAGTTTCTTCCTATCTCCCTCCTAAACCTAAACTTATCCAACCTGAATCCGTTGCTCCGAGTCCTATCCTGCTCGGATATTATAAGAACTTTATCTATATCCCCTTTCTTGATTCCTTTCACCCACTTAAATACTTCTATCATATCTCCCCGCACTCTTTGTCTTTCTAGGGAATGCAAGTTAAGTTTCTTCAACCTATCCTGATATGGAAGGTTTCTAAGTCCCGGAATCATTTTTGTCATTCTTCGCTGCACCGACTCTAGTGAATTTATATCCATTCTATAATAGGGCCACCAGAACTGGACCGCATAATCGAGGTGAGGCCTGACTAGCGCAAGATATAGTTGCAATAAGACCTCTGCACTCTTGTTACTTACACTAAAGTTAAAGTCGCTAGTATACAGACTTTGCTATGTCTGGATTTCCTGCATATTTCATCTCAAATAAGTTGTTCATTAACCCTATCGAGATTATGGGATCCATATATTACTCATATGATTATTTTTTCCTACCATCGGTTAATTCTATCCAGATTGTTTATGTATTCAGTTCAGTTTTTATTTCCTTATTAATTTCACACTACAAATTATCCCTGACATAGATTGCTACCATGTCTCCATTCCTAATCTGCCTAATGGTATGAAAAAAATTGAAATCCTTAGTTTGGTATTTGACAGGTAACTCACGTGAGTAAGTTTATCCACGTTTTGACGAATGCTATTATGTTGATTTCTTTGGTACAACCAACACCTTGATTTTATCCATTTTCTTTCTCATACTTCTACTCTTTGCATAGTACACATTTAAGCTAGTTGACACACAATAGTACTGTATAGAAGTAGCATAGCAGTATCAATACCAGTAACGTATAGCATCATCAACATCAGTATAGAATAATCAACAACAGTACTATATTCACCACCACAGCACAATATGTTCAATAGCATGGCACTATATGCAACACCACATCCCAGCATTATATTTTTCACCACAGCATGGTACTATAATCGGCACCACAACCCATTACTGTAATCGGCACCATAATCACACCAAACCACAGCACTATGTTCAGCACACTTGCTTTACTCAAAGTAAGGCATGTAGTTTCTGTAGTTTCCTCTCACTTGGACGGTGGTGACTTGATCCGTTAGGGGAGACACCGACCTAGTGGTTTTTTTTTTTTATGGGAATTAGCCCACCCAGGCACAAGTCACTGACCCACATCGGGGCCTGGGGGGCGAAAATGTAATAATAATAATGATGATGATGATGATGATGATGATGATGATGATGATGATGATGATCCACAAAGAAATACAAAATGAAAAAAAATCAAAAGTGAGGAACAATATATGTATGTTGCGTTGTCAATAGTAAGAGAAACAATTGAGACCCTGCAATTGTGTGTAAATGAGGCAGAAAGTCAGATCAGCAACCTGGGACTTTGTCACAATTTTCGTGATGCCATGTGGCAGCAGGGTCTACCACAGACAACACATTATGCTTCCAATATCTTCCCAGGCGGTAGTGCCTCCCTGTTTGGTAGCTTCCTAATACCTACTACCTAAGAATCTTGTAGACGCCGTAGACCTCCTCCAGCTTTTGTGTGGCAAGGAGTTCCGGGAGACATTCTCACCGTCACGTTTGACAAATAGCCACCTGGAAGGAACGGTCAAATCCGCCACGTGGACTCGATACAGTTTATTTCGGTCAAACTGTCAAATAATAATACTCGACTTTCAAGAGGGAACTAAAGGTTTAGTGTTATATCAGATATGAATACATTTACCTAATACTGGCACCAAAATGAGTAAATTATCCTAATATTGATACACAATAGATTGCAAATTGTTAGGAGTTAATTATTATTCTCCACGTCCACAGTTAAACACAGATAGTTTTATACTTACATGTTGTGGGACTGATTCAGAGAGCCTCGCTACTGTCCATATGTTGACGTCTCAGGGCCAGGCCTGTACGCTAAACGCTAAACAGAGAATTCCTTGTCATGTCGAGGGAGCCAACACACTACTGTACACTTGGTTGTCCACCCTTCCTACCTTACCATTTGTCTAGTTGTAAAATACTTACTGTAAATTCTACAAGCTTACGTTATATTCTAAGTCAGAGTAATATAATTAGCTATCAATTACAACCGGCTCCGCAGACCACCGACTAGCACCCACCATCTCCATACTCTTGTGCAGTCCAGGAATGCTCTGCCCTCTTCCCTCAGGTTTTGCTCAAATACAACTACGTTCGAGACCACAGACAATTCAGATACGAAACTCTGAAACACATAATACATGAGCCAAAACTATGAATCATACAATGAATCCATGACTCAGGTCCGGAACATCGAGTCAGGAGATGGAATAACCGGGGGCAGTGGTCGGGCAGCAGAAATGCACGCTGATGGTCAAGCACCAATCCGCTCACTGAAATTCTGTTTTATCAACATGTATCTCAGGGCCGTGCAGAGGAGGCCAAGGAGCTACATTACATGCCCCTTTCCATCTATGATTGAGTAAATGTGGAGGGAAAGTGGTCAGCTTCAAATTTAAATTATAGATAAAAGAACACCGCTTAATGGCATATGTCATCGTGATCCATGATTAGCGACGGCTGAAAAATGCTCACTCATCACCCTTTTTCGGGTTTCAGCCCCGGCCACTTAATGTTCTCTGCAGGTTCAAGGTCATTCTGCAGTTTAAGACTAAGTTATTTGTATTATAAAACAGGGGGTGGATAAGCAAGGTGAAATGGGACTAATCCAATAAATTGAGAAAGCATTGGGTAGCTTACTGTTCACTTAAAGTTAGCCTCCTTAGATAGTTGAAACACTCCTTTATTGGCAAAGTTTTGCCGTCACTGACTGTCGTCAAAGAGAATCAAGGATCAAAATAGTATTTTTCAGTGCCTGAACATGAAGGAAGAGCCAAGGGAGGAGCTGGGCTTGTGGAGGCAAGTGGTGGCGAGAGTACAGTGGTTCGTAGCCCCAATACGCCTGCCCCATTTGAGGAAGATCGCTCTGCCTGTCTTCTTCTGCTGGTTCACCTGTGCCATGGTCTACTATGGCGTGTCTTTCAGTGCCACCAACCTCAGGTGCGTAATTGATAACTTGTGATAAAACTCAGTTACCAACATCAATTGTGTGTGTGACTGAATGCTGTACTACCATTTTATGATGTGTTTGTTTATTTGTTATTATTATAATAATACACTTCAACAAATAAAGGTTTTAAATTCAGAAACTGGGTTAGTAATTACATTCAATGCAACCAACTGCAATTCAGCCGTTGTGTATGTGAAGTAACACGGATTACTGCTACCAATCCCAGGTGTTTTTGTGACTTCATTAGGATAACCTATTATATCCAGGGTCATGTGTTAGTCAAACGAAATACAGGGCCAAAAAGAACTTTACACCTGACGCTTTGACACTGAAAAAGTCCTTAGTGACAACACGTCAGGATGTAAAGTTGTCTCTCTGACCCTGTGTTTCCTATTCTTTGTAAAGAACCTCAGTTGTGTACGTGACGTGACATGACTCAGCGTCAACAACCTCGGGTGTGTTTGTGACTTCTTTTGACATATCATTGCACCAGCCTTCATTTTGTATATAGCGTTTTGACATAAATCAATTCTACCAACTACATCTAACCTGTATACTATTACTACCCCAATACCCCAGCACTGTACTACTAATGCCACACTTAGCTGAGTAGTAGTTGTACCACAGTCAAGTTTAATATAGTACTACAACAAAGTAAATTCCTACTATTATCACAACTACCGTTTAACTACTGCTCTACATCTGCCCAACTACTGCTACTCTACATCTGCCCTATTACTGCTGCTCTACATCTGCCCAACTACTGCTGCTCTACATCTGCCCTATTACTGCTGCTCTACATCTGCCCTATTACTGCTGCTCTACATCTGCCCAACTACTGCTACTCTACATCTGCCCTATTACTGCTGCTCTACATCTGCCCTATTACTGCTACTCTACATCTGCCCTACTACTGCTGCTGCTCTACATCTGCCCTATTACTGCTTCTCTACATCTGCCCTACTACTGCTGCTTTACATCTGCCCTATTACTGCTGCTCTACATCTGCCCTATTACTGCTGCTCTACATCTGCCCTATTACTGCTACTCTACATCTGCCCTATTACTGCTGCTCTACATCTGCCCTATTACTGCTGCTCTACATCTGCCCTATTACTGCTACTCTACATCTGCCCTATTACTGCTGCTCTACATCTGCCCTACTATTACTGCTGCTCTACATCTGCCCTACTACTGCTGCTCTACATCTGCCCTACTACTGCTGCTCTACATCTGCCCAACTACTGCTCCTTACTTGCTAGTAATACTAACACAGTCACTTTCCTATTCCTACTACCACAACTACCCTACTACCACTGCTACTATAACTACCCTCCAAGTATAACAACTACCTCGCTTCTTCTCAAACTACCCTACTACCACTACTACTATAACTACCCTCCAAGTATAACAACTACCTCGCTTCTTCTCAAACTACCCTACTACCACTACTACTATAACTACCCTCCAAGTATAACAACTACCTCGCTTCTTCTCAAACTACCCTACTACCACTACTACTATAACTACCCTCCAAGTATAACAACTACCTCGCTTCTTCTCAAACTACCCTACTACCACTACTACTATAACTACCTGCTCGCTTAGGTCCATTATATACGAAGACTCCAGACTGCTTCTGTTTTGACCAATAATAGTTTCCTGTGCTGTATTTTCACTGTCATTTCTGAAATAAAGGAGTTAAATAATTCATTTTAGACATACTATTTAAATGTGACATCCATGTTCCTTTTATATTAAGGTGATGGTGAAGTGCCACACAAAAGTCCTTTTACACACTTGAGAATCCGACTCTCTGAACTGCATGTATAGCTAACGTGACCCCTTAGTATTTCATTTGAGATTAGTACAACTTCGAAGAGGAATGTAAAGGAACTTTTGTACAGTTTGGGACTTTTCCAACTGTTACAGTCAGCGTTGTTAATCCGTGATGTGTGAACCCCGAGAGTTTCGACTCGTGAATCCAAAGCATTTACGATTGAAGGGGAGAGGTGGTCCAGGGGATGACAAGGGTTGGTGTGTGAGTAGGTGGCAGGTTATCTGCGTTGAGGAGAGTGTTCAGGACTAGAGGGATGGGAAATTTTTAAGGAGATACTCGTGCAGTTACCACGTAGTATGTATTAACCAAGGATATAAATTGCATTTCACACAGTATACTGTATGTACTGAAACGATTGAAATATTTATTGCCTCGCCAGCGAGTAGACCCGGGTTCGATTCCTGAGCAGGATGAAACTAGGGGCAAGTTTCTTTACTTTATTTGCCTCTATCCAGAATTATATGGGGACCTGGGTGTTAACTGATTTATGGATCGTGTTCTGGGGTAATGGTTAGTCAGTGCAGTTGGCGATTTGTCCGGTCTTCTCGGATTATTCCTTGATACTGGGTCATCCAACTGGTTAACTCGGGGTGTGGTTGTTGTGTTGGCGACAGCTTCCACACTTTAAACAATTTCACGCCTAGGTGGCGGCCGTAGGGCTGGCCATCCTCGAACACGAGGGGCGACCATTACTTTTTTACTTGTGTGTGGAGTAGAGGGAAGAAGGGGGCAGACCGCCGAGACACCCACTATAACCCACTATACTTGGAAATCATAAATATCAAATCACGATAATCACTCATATCGTTAATAATGACAGAAGCAAACCCACCGTGATTGCACGGTCGTCAGCAGAGGTGGGAAATATGACTGTGAACAACTTCATATTTAACCGCCTCTGCTAACGGCCGTGTTATATTTCAATGTGATTCTGATCTTTTAATATGTTAGTTTTTGTATAATGTAGTATTAATGATACGTAATTTGTCGGTAAAAATAAGTATATTTTAAATGCATCCTCCGAAAGCGTGAATTTGCTACCCGAGTTTAAGAGTTAATTCACGTATAATACTTCTCATAAACTTCCTACGTGCTTATGTTTGAAATAATGAATGTATGTATCTTCATATAATTTAGCAAAATATCTCTCGTCGGAAACGGTCATCCCAACGATTATGAATAAACTCATTTAAAAATACAGCTGTAACTCTTGAGGAGGGGGCGGGGCATCTCTTCTCAGCTGAGAAAAAACGCACTATAGTGTTAGTTGTGAGCAGGTCTGTGCACTTCTGACGGCCGATCGAGTTAGTGAAGATCAAGGACGAAAACATGAAATTCAAGGAAGTGATTGCGAGGATGAAGGAGGAAGACGCGATACAAAGAAAGCCCGTATCTATTAAGTAGAGCGGGCGGGTCGAATCGTGTTGCGTCTCTGTAACAAAGCGTGTTTGGCATTCGGCCCTTCGATGTTGAGCGGCAGGAATTGGACAGTGATTACATAAAAACATCAAGATCGTCTTAGTGATGTGAAAGTGTAAATCGATGTAGGATTTTTAATGCTAGACGCGATTGTATTTTTAAAAACTCAATTTCCACCGAGTTGGAGGTACAGCCCAGGTCAGGAGGCAAACACAAAATCACTGCCATATGACAAAGCTTCAATTTTTTTTTCATGTAGTTGTGGTCACGGCTGTGATAAAGGCCAACCAGGGAGTGTAGTACTGTGATTTTAGGTAAATCAGTTCATAGTGTCATCAGTGACCGTGGAAGAGGTTGTAAATAACTTAAAGTGAATACAAACTGGCAAGCAAGCTGGTAAGGCACCGTGCCAGCAGAGACCAAGTCGTGTCATAGATGCCACAGAGACTTTAAATTTTATTTTGTTTGTGTGCTTTCTCAAGGACTGAAACTGTGCCTACAATACACCATTCACAGGGAGATACAGTGTACACAGTGATAGCAGAAGACAACTCTATAGGCAACAGGGGAGGTGGTTAAATCCAGCAGAGAGCAGCTAAGTACTGTTCTTTTTTTCTATTTAGTTTTAAATAGGTGTAGATCTATACACAGTCTGCACCCCCCCCCACAGCAACAACAACAACCATGAGTATGATATGCAATTACTGCAGGGGGACGTTGGATATGGAGGATACAGGCCTGACGAATGCAACGTTTAGGAAGATGCTAACTGCCGTAAAGCATGAAGGCTGTTGCTGGTATTGCCCTGACTGCATAGTCAAGGTGAAAGAGGTGATTTCCAGCCATAAGGGTTCCCCAGGGACGAAAATAGATGAAGCTGGAGCCCTGCTCGTTGCCAAACTAGAGCAAGTTGGGAAAGAGATCCTTGCTAAGACTGAGGAAGTAGCCGATAGAATGGAAGCATTAGCAGGGCCACGGGGAGTGGCGGAGAGTAATGCAGGATCAGAACAGGTTCTACAGCAGCTAGGGACTCTGAAGAAGTGGGCTGAAGAAATTAAAATTAACGGACCTACTGTTAGGGGAGAGGAGGATCAACGGAAACGTTGCCAGCGCAGGAACAATGTAATATTTTTTGGAGTCCCTGAGAACCAGGCGGAGGGAACTGAGAGTAAGGTAACACACGATAAGATGCAGTTTCAAAATATTTGTACAGAGGTTCTGAAGATGCCATCAACCCTAAAGGATGTGAGGAGGCTGGGACAATAGCAGGGGGATAAGCCTCAGCCCCTCAGGATCACACTAGTGAGCGAGGAGGAAAAACGGGGGGCTATTCGGCAGGCAAAAAACTTAGTAAGAAGCGAGGCACCTCGGGGTGTATTCATTCACCCAGACCGCTCGGTAATGCAGAGGGAACAGCACAAGAAGCTCCTGTAGGACTTGAAGCAGAGGAGGGAGGAGTCAAGAAGGAACGAGGACGGGTGTACATGGGTTATATTCATGGGGAGGATAGTGGAAGCAAGTGTGCCGACACAGGGCCAGGGGGCAGCAGTGCGCCCTCCACCCGCTCTACCCCCCACCCGGGAGGCGGCACCAGCTCCGCCTAACGGACAGGAGGAGGCGAGCGCCGTGTAAACAATGACATTTCTAACCACACCCTGCAAAATACAGTGTACTTAGCAAATGCTGCAGCTTCTGAGGATGGGGGGGGGGGGGGGGGGAGCGGGGTTACTACTAAGAGCAGAAATGTTACGGAGAACAAATTCTGGCCTGAATGTCATATACAAATGCCAGTTCGATCACAGGAAACTTCAGTTCACGTTTGCAAATACAGGAGATGTGGGCCTCGGATTTTCAGTCACGATCGCATCCAAACTCAGGACAGAGAACAATTGGGCACTTGCAAGTAATTATGTCAAATAACTGGTCAGTTGCTTGGCTTAAAGCTTGTCCTCTTGCAAGTTTTCCTCTCCCAAGTTCTTTTGGTTCTTTCACTGATTTGCCTGATTAAAACACCGTATCTCAAAGCATCTCTCAATGTGAGCAACTCCGACTTCAGGAGCTCTTACACAAACAAAGACATTGCCAGTGATATGACCAAAGCTGTCTTGGCACAGTACACTCTGGCTAACGCTCAGCTCAAGCCTCCAGTCATAACAAGTCAGAAGAAGATTAGTGAGAAACTGCTAGCCAGTTGGGAAAAGGCAAGAGATACCTCTCTTGGGAGAGGAAAACTTGCAGTTAAGGACAGCTTTGCCAAGCAACTGGACCAGTTATTTGACATAATTACTTGCAAGTGCCCAAATCTGAAGATATCACATGATTCTGCACATAGAACTACATCATTAATACCATGGGCCGATTTTTCAAACTAAAAAAAAAAAAAATCGCCTCCATATGACACACCCTAGTGTATATGACATTCAGGCCAGAATTTGTTCTCCGTAACATTTCTGCTCTTAGTAGTAACCCCGCTCCCCCCCCCACCCCCATCCTCAGAAGCTGCAGCATTTGCTAAGTACACTGTATTTTGCAGGGTGTGGTTAGAAATGTCATTGTTTACACGGCGCTCGCCTCCTCCTGTCCGTTAGGCGGAGCTGGTGCCGCCTCCCGGGTGGGGGGTAGAGCGGGTGGAGGGCGCACTGCTGCCCCCTGGCCCTGTGTCGGCACACTTGCTTCCACTATCCTCCCCATGAATATAACCCATGTACACCCGTCCTCGTTCCTTCTTGACTCCTCCCTCCTCTGCTTCAAGTCCTACAGGAGCTTCTTGTGCTGTTCCCTCTGCATTACCGAGCGGTCTGGGTGAATGAATACACCCCGAGGTGCCTCGCTTCTTACTAAGTTTTTTGCCTGCCGAATAGCCCCCCGTTTTTCCTCCTCGCTCACTAGTGTGATCCTGAGGGGCTGAGGCTTATCCCCCTGCTATTGTCCCAGCCTCCTCACATCCTTTAGGGTTGATCTCAGTTCCCTCCGCCTGGCTCTCAGGGACTCCAAAAAATATTACATTGTTCCTGCGCTGGCAACGTTTCCGTTGATCCTCCTCTCCCCTAACAGTAGGTCCGTTAATTTTCATTTCTTCAGCCCACTTCTTCAGAGTCCCTAGCTGCTGTAGAACCTGTTCTGATCCTGCATTACTCTCCGCCACTCCCCGTGGCCCTGCTAATGCTTCCATTCTATCGGCTACTTCCTCAGTCTTAGCAAGGATCTCTTTCCCAACTTGCTCTAGTTTGGCAACGAGCAGGGCTCCAGCTTCATCTATTTTCGTCCCTAGGGAACCCTTATGGCTGGAAATCGCCTCTTTCACCTTGACTATGCAGTCAGGGCAATACCAGCAACAGCCTTCATGCTTTACGGCAGTTAGCATCTTCCTAAACGTTGCATTCGTCAGGCCTGTATCCTCCATATCCAACGTCCCCCTGCAGTAATTGCATATCATACTCATGGTTGTTGTTGTTGCTGTGGGGGGGGGTGCAGACTGTGTATAGATCTACACCTATTTAAAACTAAATAGAAAAAAAGAACAGTACTTAGCTGCTCTCTGCTGGATTTAACCACCTCCCCTGTTGCCTATAGAGTTGTCTTCTGCTATCACTGTGTACACTGTATCTCCCTGTGAATGGTGTATTGTAGGCACAGTTTCAGTCCTTGAGAAAGCACACAAACAAAATAAAATTTAAAGTCTCTGTGGCATCTATGACACGACTTGGTCTCTGCTGGCACGGTGCCTTACCAGCTTGCTTGCCAGTTTGTATTCACTTTAAGTTATTTACAACCTCTTCCACGGTCACTGATGACACTATGAACTGATTTACCTAAAATCACAGTACTACACTCCCTGGTTGGCCTTTATCACAGCCGTGACCACAACTACATGAAAAAAAAATTGAAGCTTTGTCATGTGGCAGTGATTTTGTGTTTGCCTCCTGACCTGGGCTGTACCTCCAACTCGGTGGAAATTGAGTTTTTAAAAATACAATCGCGTCTAGCATTAAAAATCCTACATCGATTTACACTTTCACATCACTAAGACGATCTTGATGTTTTTATGTAATCACTGTCCAATTCCTGCCGCTCAACATCGAAGGACCGAATGCCAAACACGCTTTGTTACAGAGACGCAACACGATTCGACCCGCCCGCTCTACTTAATAGATACGGGCTTTCTTTGTATCGCGTCTTCCTCCTTCATCCTCGCAATCACTTCCTTGAATTTCATGTTTTCGTCCTTGATCTTCACTAACTCGATCGGCCGTCAGAAGTGCACAGACCTGCTCACAACTAACACTATAGTGCGTTTTTTCTCAGCTGAGAAGAGATGCCCCGCCCCCTCCTCAAGAGTTACAGCTGTATTTTTAAATGAGTTTATTCATAATCGTTGGGATGACCGTTTCCGACGAGAGATATTTTGCTAAATTATATGAAGATACATACATTCATTATTTCAAACATAAGCACGTAGGAAGTTTATGAGAAGTATTATACGTGAATTAACTCTTAAACTCGGGTAGCAAATTCACGCTTTCGGAGGATGCATTTAAAATATACTTATTTTTACCGACAAATTACGTATCATTAATACTACATTATACAAAAACTAACATATTAAAAGATCAGAATCACATTGAAATATAACACGGCCGTTAGCAGAGGCGGTTAAATATGAAGTTGTTCACAGTCATATTTCCCACCTCTGCTGACGACCGTGCAATCACGGTGGGTTTGCTTCTGTCATTATTAACGATATGAGTGATTATCGTGATTTGATATTTATGATTTCCAAGTATAGTGGGTTATAGTGGGTGTCTCGGCGGTCTGCCCCCTTCTTCCCTCTACTCCACACACAAGTAAAAAAGTAATGGTCGCCCCTCGTGTTCGAGGATGGCCAGCCCTACGGCCGCCACCTAGGCGTGAAATTGTTTAAAGTGTGGAAGCTGTCGCCAACACAACAACCACACCCCGAGTTAACCAGTTGGATGACCCAGTATCAAGGAATAATCCGAGAAGACCGGACAAATCGCCAACTGCACTGACTAACCATTACCCCAGAACACGATCCATAAATCAGTTAACACCCAGGTCCCCATATAATTCTGGATAGAGGCAAATAAAGTAAAGAAACTTGCCCCTAGTTTCATCCTGCTCAGGAATCGAACCCGGGTCTACTCGCTGGCGAGGCAATAAATATTTCAATCGTTTCAGTACATACAGTATACTGTACAGTATAAGCTCTGTGTGAAATGCAATTTATATCCTTGGTTAATACATACTACGTGGTAACTGCACGAGTATCTCCTTAAAAATTTCCCATCCCTCTAGTCCTGAACACTCTCCTCAACGCAGATAACCTGCCACCTACTCACACACCAACCCTTGTCATCCCCTGGACCACCTCTCCCCTTCAATCGTAAATGCTTTGGATTCACGAGTCGAAACTCTCGGGGTTCACACATCACGGATTAACAACGCTGACTGTAACAGTTGGAAAAGTCCCAAACTGTACAAAAGTTCCTTTACATTCCTCTTCGAAGTTGTACTAATCTCAAATGAAATACTAAGGGGTCACATTAGCTATACATGCAGTTCAGAGAGTCGGATTCTCAAGTGTGTAAAAGGACTTTTGTGTGGCACTTCACCATCACCTTAATATAAAAGGAACATGGATGTCACATTTAAATAGTATGTCTAAAATGAATTATTTAACTCCTTTATTTCAGAAATGACAGTGAAAATACAGCACAGGAAACTATTATTGGTCAAAACAGAAGCAGTCTGAAGTCTTCGTATATAATGGACCTAAGCGAGCAGGTAGTTATAGTAGTAGTGGTAGTAGGGTAGTTTGAGAAGAAGCGAGTAGTTGTTATACTTGGAGGTAGTTATAGTAGTAGTGGTAGGTAGTTTGAGAAGAAGGAGGTAGTTGTTATACTTGGAGGTAGTTATAGTAGCAGTGGTAGTAGTTTTAGAGGCAGAGGTAGTTGTTATACTTGGAGGGTAGTTATAGTAGTAGTGGTAGTAGGGTAGTTTGAGAAAAGCGAGAGGTTGTTATACTTGGAGGGTAGTTATAGTAGCAGTGGTAGTAGGGTAGTTGTGGTAGTAGGAATAGGAAAGTGACTGTGTTAGTATTACTAGCAAGTAAGGAGCAGTAGTTGGGCAGATGTAGAGCAGCAGTAGTAGGGCAGATGTAGACAAGGTAGGGCAGATGTAGAGCAGCAGTAATAGTAGGGCAGATGTAGGAGCAGTAATAAGATGTAGAGTAGCAATAGGGCAGGTAGAGCAAGCTGAATAGGGCAGATGTAGAAAGCAGTAATAGAGATGTAGAGCAGCAGTAATAGGGCAGATGTAGAGTAAGTAAAGGGGCAGATGTAGAGTAGCAGTAATAGGGAGATGTAGAGCAGCATTAGGGCAGATGTAGAGCAGCAGTAATAGGGCAGATGTAAGCAGAGCAGTAGGGACAGAGAAGCAGTAATAGGGCAGATGTAGAGCAGCAGCAGTAGTAGGGGCAGATGTAGAGCAGCAGTAATAGGGCAGATGTAGAGCAGCAGTAATAGGGCAGATGTAGAGTAGCAGTAGTTGGGCAGATGTAGAGCAGCAGTAATAGGGCAGATGTAGAGCAGCAGTAATAGGGCAGATGTAGAGCAGCAGTAGTTGGGCAGATGTAGAGCAGCAGTAATAGGGCAGATGTAGAGTAGCAGTAGTTGGGCAGATGTAGAGCAGTAGTTAAACGGTAGTTGTGATAATAGTAGGAATTTACTTTGTTGTAGTACTATATTTAACTTGACTGTGGTACAACTACTACTCAGCTAAGTGTGGCATTAGTAGTACAGTGCTGGGGTATTGGGGTAGTAATAGTCTACAGGTTAGATGTAGTTGGTAGAATTGATTTATGTCAAAACGCTATATACAAAATGAAGGCTGGTGCAATGATATGTCAAAAGAAGTCACAAACACACCCGAGGTTGTTGACGCTGAGTCATGTCACGTCACGTACACAACTGAGGTTCTTTACAAAGAATAGGAAACACAGGGTCAGAGAGACAACTTTACATCCTGACGTGTTGTCACTAAGGACTTTTTCAGTGTCAAAGCGTCAGGTGTAAAGTTCTTTTTGGCCCTGTATTTCGTTTGACTAACACATGACCCTGGATATAATAGGTTATCCTAATGAAGTCACAAAAACACCTGGGATTGGTAGCAGTAATCCGTGTTACTTCACATACACAACGGCTGAATTGCAGTTGGTTGCATTGAATGTAATTACTAACCCAGTTTCTGAATTTAAAACCTTTATTTGTTGAAGTGTATTATTATAATAATAACAAATAAACAAACACATCATAAAATGGTAGTACAGCATTCAGTCCTTTGTCACACACACAATTGATGTTGGTAACTGAGTTTTATCACAAGTTATCAATTACGCACCTGAGGTTGGTGGCACTGAAAGACACGCCATAGTAGACCATGGCACAGGTGAACCAGCAGAAGAAGACAGGCAGAGCGATCTTCCTCAAATGGGGCAGGCGTATTGGGGCTACGAACCACTGTACTCTCGCCACCACTTGCCTCCACAAGCCCAGCTCCTCCCTTGGCTCTTCCTTCATGTTCAGGCACTGAAAAATACTATTTTGATCCTTGATTCTCTTTGACGACAGTCAGTGACGGCAAAACTTTGCCAATAAAGGAGTGTTTCAACTATCTAAGGAGGCTAACTTTAAGTGAACAGTAAGCTACCCAATGCTTTCTCAATTTATTGGATTAGTCCCATTTCACCTTGCTTATCCACCCCCTGTTTTATAATACAAATAACTTAGTCTTAAACTGCAGAATGCAGGATGACCTTGAACCTGCAGAGAACATTAAGTGGCCGGGGCTGAAACCCGAAAAAGGGTGATGAGTGAACATTTTTCAGCCGTCGCTAATCATGGATCACGATGACATATGCCATTAAGCGGTGTTCTTTTATCTATAATTTAAATTTGAAGCTGACCACTTTCCCTCCACATTTACTCAATCATAGATGGAAAGGGGCATGTAATGTAGCTCCTTGGCCTCCTCTGCACGGCCCTGAGATACATGTTGATAAAACAGAATTTCAGTGAGCGGATTGGTGCTTGACCATCAGCGTGCATTTCTGCTGCCCGACCACTGCCCCCGGTTATTCCATCTCCTGACTCGATGTTCCGGACCTGAGTCATGGATTCATTGTATGATTCATAGTTTTGGCTCATGTATTATGTGTTTCAGAGTTTCGTATCTGAATTGTCTGTGGTCTCAAACGTAGTTGTATTTGAGCAAAACCTGAGGGAAGAGGGCAGAGCATTCCTGGACTGCACAAGAGTATGGAGATGGCGGGTGCTAGTCGGTGGTCTGCGGAGCCGGTTGTAATTGATAGCTAATTATATTACTCTGACTTAGAATATAACGTAAGCTTGTAGAATTTACAGTAAGTATTTTACAACTAGACAAATGGTAAGGTAGGAAGGGTGGACAACCAAGTGTACAGTAGTGTGTTGGCTCCCTCGACATGACAAGGAATTCTCTGTTTAGCGTTTAGCGTACAGGCCTGGCCCTGAGACGTCAACATATGGACAGTAGCGAGTCTCTCTGAATCAGTCCCACAACATGTAAGTATAAAACTATCTGTGTTTAACTGTGGACGTGGAGAATAATAATTAACTCCTAACAATTTGCAATCTATTGTGTATCAATATTAGGATAATTTACTCATTTTGGTGCCAGTATTAGGTAAATGTATTCATATCTGATATAACACTAAACCTTTAGTTCCCTCTTGAAAGTCGAGTATTATTATTTGACAGTTTGACCGAAATAAACTGTATCGAGTCCACGTGGCGGATTTGACCGTTCCTTCCAGGTGGCTATTTGTCAAACGTGACGGTGAGAATGTCTCCCGGAACTCCTTGCCACACAAAAGCTGGAGGAGGTCTACGGCGTCTACAAGATTCTTAGGTAGTAGGTATTAGGAAGCTACCAAACAGGGAGGCACTACCGCCTGGGAAGATATTGGAAGCATAATGTGTTGTCTGTGGTAGACCCTGCTGCCACATGGCATCACGAAAATTGTGACAAAGTCCCAGGTTGCTGATCTGACTTTCTGCCTCATTTACACACAATTGCAGGGTCTCAATTGTTTCTCTTACTATTGACAACGCAACATACATATATTGTTCCTCACTTTTGATTTTTTTTTCATTTTGTATTTCTTTGTGGATCATCATCATCATCATCATCATCATCATCATCATCATCATCATCATCATCATCATCATCATCCTCATCCTCATCATCATCCTCATCCTCATCATCATCATCATCATCATCATCATCATCATCATCATCATCATCATCATCATCATCATCATCATCATCATCATCATCATCATTATTATTACATTTTCGCCCCCCAGGCCCCGATGTGGGTCAGTGACTTGTGCCTGGGTGGGCTAATTCCCATAAAAAAAAAAAACCACTAGGTCGGTGTCTCCCCTAACGGATCAAGTCACCACCGTCCAAGTGAGAGGAAACTACAGAAACTACATGCGTTACTTTGAGTAAAGCAAGTGTGCTGAACATAGTGCTGTGGTTTGGTGTGATTATGGTGCCGATTACAGTAATGGGTTGTGGTGCCGATTATAGTACCATGCTGTGGTGAAAAATATAATGCTGGGATGTGGTGTTGCATATAGTGCCATGCTATTGAACATATTGTGCTGTGGTGGTGAATATAGTACTGTTGTTGATTATTCTATACTGATGTTGATGATGCTATACGTTACTGGTATTGATACTGCTATGCTACTTCTATACAGTACTATTGTGTGTCAACTAGCTTAAATGTGTACTATGCAAAGAGTAGAAGTATGAGAAAGAAAATGGATAAAATCAAGGTGTTGGTTGTACCAAAGAAATCAACATAATAGCATTCGTCAAAACGTGGATAAACTTACTCACGTGAGTTACCTGTCAAATACCAAACTAAGGATTTCAATTTTTTTCATACCATTAGGCAGATTAGGAATGGAGACATGGTAGCAATCTATGTCAGGGATAATTTGTAGTGTGAAATTAATAAGGAAATAAAAACTGAACTGAATACATAAACAATCTGGATAGAATTAACCGATGGTAGGAAAAAATAATCATATGAGTAATATATGGATCCCATAATCTCGATAGGGTTAATGAACAACTTATTTGAGATGAAATATGCAGGAAATCCAGACATAGCAAAGTCTGTATACTAGCGACTTTAACTTTAGTGTAAGTAACAAGAGTGCAGAGGTCTTATTGCAACTATATCTTGCGCTAGTCAGGCCTCACCTCGATTATGCGGTCCAGTTCTGGTGGCCCTATTATAGAATGGATATAAATTCACTAGAGTCGGTGCAGCGAAGAATGATAAAAATGATTCCGGGACTTAGAAACCTTCCATATCAGGATAGGTTGAAGAAACTTAACTTGCATTCCCTAGAAAGACGAAGAGTGCGGGGAGATATGATAGAAGTATTTAAGTGGGTGAAAGGAATCAATAAAGGGGATATAGATAAAGTTCGTATAATATCCGAGCAGGATAGGACTCGGAGCAACGGATTCAAGTTGGATAAGTTTAGGTTTAGGAGGGAGATAGGAAGAAACTGGTTCACAAATAGGGTGGTGGACGAGTGGAACAAGCTTAGCAACTTTGTAGTAAGTGCGGGAACTCTGGAAAGTTTCAAAAGGAGGCTAGATAGATTCATGGACGATAGAGAGTGGTAGTAACTCTCGACAGGAGCTGCCATGCACAGGCCAACCGGCCTATTGCAGACTCCTTATTTTCTTATGTTCTTATGTTTAGTCAAATAGATTGGATTGACCTTACGAGTAACTCGGAAACAGAGGATTTTCTTGAAACAGTTCAGGACCGTTTCCTAAGTCAACATACTGTATATTCGAATCGACCCGGGGTAATAATATATACGATTTAGTTCTGTCAAACAGAGAAAACCTCATCAGTAATGTCGTGGTAAGGAACGAACTAGCTAACAGCGACGACAAAGATGTGAGATTTAAAGTAGAACTTAATGTCAGTCGCAAGGAAAATTCCGTTAAAGTCAATGATTTCAGAAAGGCAAACTTTGATAGGTTGAAAAAATAGCTGAGAGAAGGGGTATTATGTTTGGGGTTGAATTACATGACGTGACCTCACATAATGTACCCACAGAAGGCGACCTCACTTTACCTGGTGACCTGACAATGGTAACCTCACAAAATATGACTGTTGAGGATGACCTGACCATGAGATTTGAGGTTAACGAGTTCCATAATTTAAATACTGAATTACTGAATGCATAAAGGCAGAACATACCATACAGAAAACTCAAATCAAATAACAATGACCCCAAATGAATAAATCTTTATTTAAAGAATATTACTGGAGTTTATTATAAAGTATTGGCCAGTAGGGTTAAGACAGATAAGAAAAGTAGAGAGGAATAATGAACTGAAGATAGCAAGGAAGGCGAAGTCAAACCCAAAGGGATTCTTCCAAATGTATCAAACTAAAACACGAGACGATGAAATGATTAATAATCTAAACAGATATTTTTCATCGGTTTTCACATCCAAAAATTAAAACATGGTAGCTGAGGCAGCGACTATATGCAGAAATAATTTGCAATTAACATTGCAGACTGTATTGAGGATATTTTTAAGCCATTTAATTATCATCTTGTTTTATGTTTAACATTTTTAGTCTCTGATTAGGAGGTAGAATTTCATGAATATACCTACTGTATATGGGTTCCATGACATTTGCTCACAAGATGAACCTAATCTAACCTAACCTAATATGTCTTCCTTTCCATAATAGTTGAGTATATGCCTTGTAAACAAATGTCTGCACACTAACTATATGAAGACTCTCTGGTGAGGATCCATATACAGTATTTACATGGAATGATTTTCCAAATAAAAGACCATTTAAACAGAGGATACTTTTCTTTAACTGCTGGTTTAGTCCATGTCATTAACATACAGTGAACCCTCACTTTACGCGGTCAATTGAACCCACGGCGGCCCACGTAAAGTGAGAAATGCGTAAAGTGAACAACATAACATATGGGATTAATTGAAATAGAGACCGGGCCGACCCCCAAACCACTTTTTCAGACACAATACCTACGTTGTAGTAAAAATAACTTCTTAATTTTATGATGGTATGCACACACGATTAATAATTAAGAGAAATATCAATAATATTAGGTTTTTTAATACTTACATTAGTAGAAAAGATGGCTGGGCACACGGGGATGGGGGTTTGGTTCCGAGGCAGAGGGCAGATTATTGGCCCTCACCTGAATCACTTGTATCAATTGTATCACTATCCACCTCAGAGACTTGCAGGGCCACTTTGTCAAACCCCTCAAAGTCCATATAAGTCCATATCATTATCACTATCACTGACTTGGGCCGGCTGTGGTGGGTGGCGGGTGAAGAACTCGGTAATGTTTGATGACTGGGCGACCTTGTGCGCACCCTGCTCGCGCCGCTCTCCGCGTAAAAGGGTACACACACCGCGGAAAGTGAGCATTCCATGTTCGGCAGGGTACAGCGTAAACGTGGAAACGCATGAAGTGGGACCGCGTAAAGCGAGGGTTGACTGTATTGTATAAATTTTTACTCCTGACTTTGGGAAAGTGTTCATGTCTTGCTATAATCAGGTGGAGACAAATAGGAAACATTATCTCAAGGTTTCATATCATGTAGATTTTTGGGTACAAAGATAATTTCCTGTTTGGTAGAAAACTAACAGTTATGGTGATATTTTTCAAGATTTTATCCCAATTCATCTGTACAGTGAGTTCATAACTGTCATAGCAAAACTATAATACCTAATACTGTACTTCGTTATATTCTACTGACAGTGCCGGATTTAGACCTGTGGAGGCCCATGGGCAGCCTCTTTGTGGAGGCCCCCCTCATTATAACTACCCGAGAGGGTGGGATGGCGAGTAAAGCGAGCCTAAACATCTGGGAGTTCCGGGGAGCGCTGTAAGCCCCCCGGGAAAATCTTGAAATTTGAACACTTCTTTGGAGAATTTTGAAGCCACATGCAGTTATATTGAGGAACTTAGAACATTGAGAAATTTTTAATTAACTGTATATTTATTGATAGTGTACAAATTCCCAGCACACACACAAAAAAAGTGAGACATGACTGGAGTCATTCATGTGGTTTCAAGTCGACCAGCCCTGATATAGCTACTACCGCACATGTCAAAAATTTTCAACGGTCTTCACAGAAAAGAAAATATTATTAGTTATTACAGAGAGATGATTCTTTGCATTATTCATGAATTTCAAGGAGTAGCCAGCCTAATTTCTAT